TCCGAGCTCATCTTCAACAACAGCTTCACCACGCTAGCTCCTTTGTGAAACAAGACTGACTATGGAGCAAACATGGAGACACCTCCACACAAACACTGTTGCTGTTTCAGTGATCACCACTAACCACCTCAACTTGCATCCCTAGCATTATGACCAGCTACAGGAGCACATGGGCAGTGGTTCTCCTTACAAGAACATGGTGGAGTGGTTGTATTTGTGAAAGACAACAATGATTGAACTTGGTGGCTTGTTTTGAGGAAGACTGCATTTTCATTTCCACAACTGCATGAATTCTATAAGGATCTTCACAAAAACAAAGAAATGCTTGAAATGTTAGATGCAAAAGTATTTAGAACTCAATTTTTTGAAAAACTATGAAAAATATTTGCATTTACTTCTAGAAACTAAAGGCCCTTTTTTACCTAAGGAAGTTAGAAAATAAGAATTCCATGTAATACTTTTCCTTTCCCACAAAAAGTTTTCTTCCCAAAGATAGACACCTTAGAGTGCTTTGAAAGGTTAAAACATTGATTAGTAAAAAGAACAGGAGTACTTAAGTTATTATATGTATTACAGTAGCACCTGGAGGCTCCAACCAGCACCAGGGCCATATTGTGCTAGGTACTGTACAAACATAGTAAGAAATAGTCCATACCCTGAACACCTTTTTATTCTAAATTGACAAAACATGGGAGAGCAGTATTACACATTCAAGCAGAAGGCTGGGAACAAGGCACAGAGAGGGAAAATGACTTGCCCAAGGTCACACAGGATGTAATAGGAGGCTGGGTTCAATTCCTGGCACTAAGTCCCAGCTCAATGCACTAACCACTAGAAAATGCTTCCTTAAACTTTTGGTTAGGTAGGAATGAGTAGATGCAGTGTTAAAGAGGGAGGGGGGAAAAACAAACAAAAAACTTAAAATCAAATTATTTGCTTTAGGAAGAAGGCAAAACTTTATAAACACTGCCTATGCAAGTTTATTCATATTCCCTCCCACCTAAGGCCTCCCTTTCTAAGGCCCAGGAAATCCTCTTTCCCCATTTACAGATAGATGGATTTCTCCCCAAGCCAACATGTAAGAGGCATTACTAGGAACAGAAATCTGGGTGTAGAAAATGTGCATATTTGATTTGGAGTCTTTCATGTATTAGCCAGGATCTCAGTACGCTCTCTCTCGAAAAACAAAAAACAAAACAAAAAAAAAGAGTTCTAGCCTTCCTTGGCTGCATCTACACTGGCAAAGTTGGGATGCATAATTTACAGCTCCCTTTTGGTAGTAACTGTGGAAGCTCTAGCATAGAGAGGGCCAAGATTTCAGAAACAGATGGTTTATGATAGGTTTAGGAGCCTACCCTTAGGCACCGATTTAAGATCTTGGTCAGCTGTTTTAACATCCTTTGAGTACCTTGTTGTTGAGTTCTTTAAAGTACTATTTATGTAGTATTTCAAGTAGGGCTGTCGATTAATCGGTTAACTCACGTGATTAATTCAAAAATTTACATGCCAGATATGCTTAACATTCATATGTCCCTTCATGCTTTGGCCACCATGCCAGAGGACATGCTTCCATGCTGATAATGCTCGTTAAAAAAATAATGCGTTAATTAAATTTGTGACTGAACTCCTTAGGGGAGAATTCTATGTCTCCGGCTGTTTTACCTGCATTCTGCCATATATTTCATGTTATAGTAGTCTCAGATGATGACTCAGCACATGTTAATTTTAAGAACATTTTCATTGCAGATTTGACAAAACACAAAAGGTACCAATGTGAGATTTCTAAAGATAGCCACAGCACTTGACCCAAGGTTTAAGAATCTGAAGTGCCTTCCAAAACCTGAGAGGGATGTGGTGTGGAGCATGCTTTCAGAAGTCTTAAAAGAGGAACACACTGATGCAGAAACTACAGAACCCAAACCACCAAAAAAGAAAATCAAACTTCTGCTGGTGGCATCCTGACACAGATTATGAGAATGAACATGCGTCAGTCCGCACTGCTTTGGATTGTTATCAAGCAGAACCTGTCATCAGCATGGATGCAAGTCCTCTGGAATGGTGGATGAAACATGAAGGGACAAATGAATCTTTAGCACATCTGGCATGTAAATATCTTGGGATGCAGACTGCAACAGTGCCATGCGAACGCCTGTTCTCACTTTCAGGTGACATTGTGAACAAGAAGCAGGCAGCATTATCACCTGCAAATGTAAACAAACTTGTTTGTCCGAGCAACTGGCTGAACAAGAAATAGGACTGAGTGGACTGGTAGGCTCTAAAGCAGGGGTCGGCAACCTTTCAGAACTGGTGTGCCCAGTCTTCATTTATTCACTCTGATTTAAGGTTTCGCGTGCCAGTAATACATTTTAACGTTTTTAGAAGGTCTCTTTTAGAAGTTTATAATATATAACTAAACTATTATTGCATGTAAAGTAAATAAGGTTTTTAAAATGTTTAAGAAGCTACATTTAAAATTAAAATGCAGAGCCCCTCAGACCGGTGGACAGGACCCGGGCAGTGTGAGTGCCACTGAAAATCAGCTTGCGTGCCGCCTTTGGCACGCGTGCCATAGGTTGCCTACCCCTGTTCTGAAGTTTTACATTGCATTCAATAATAGAAGTTATTTTTTTGTACACAATTCTACATTTGTAAGTTCAACTTTCATGATAAAAAGAGATTGCAGTATAGTACTTGTAGTAGGTGAACTGAAAATATCTCTTGTTTTTTACAGTGCAAATATTTGTAATAAAAATATAAAGTGATCACTGTACACTTTGTATTCTGTTTTAATTGAAATCAATATATTTGAAAATGCAGAAAACATCCAAAAATATTTAAATGGTATTCTGTTATTGTTTAACAGTGCCATTAATCACGATTAATTTTTTAAATTGCTTGACAGCCCTAATTTCAAGATAGCAACCTTCACATTCCCATCCAATCCCAAATAGTCTTATATAGCAAACAAACATTATATAAAATATCAAATACATCTTACTACTTGTTCTACCTTTTAACATTTGAACTACCTTTTCTTGTTAAAGAACTTTGACATATTTACGTTCTTTTCCTGGAAAAAACTACTGAGAGTTATGCTATAGCAAGGCAAACAAGAACTACAGTAAGTAGCCACTATACAAACAACTTTTAAACACCAAATGCGCTGAAACAAGGAGCTGACACCTGCAAAAAGCAGCAATGTTTCATGAACACTTCTGCCTAAGCTTGTCAAAGAAATGCAATAAATTTTATATAAACTCCCTAAATTATATTAGGGAGCGATAAAACAAGAGACACAAGAATCTCTCTCTGTCTGTATGTATGTATCACAATCACAAACCAAATCCACTGGATTTGTCCTAAGTTTCTATAGCAGCACAGTTATCCCTTTGCCTTGGCCTTTCATTATCCATGTCAAAGAAATCTTACAATAAGATGAAAGGCATTTATCTAGTATCTGGCTCAGCAAAGTCTTAGATTACTTTGTGCCAAATGGGAAAAAAATTAAAATCCTGGCCAAGCTCTTCCAAGCTAAGTCCAGACATACGAGTGCAAGGACAGACTTGAGACAGGCTAGATAAATCCAGTTTTCTTCTTTAAATAATTATTTGGCTTTTTATTCCAAGAAGAATATCCATTGGCTACTTTGCAACCTTGTACCCCAGTCAAAGATTAATAAACCATTTTAATCAGATGCTGACCAAATAAAAAAGTTAAACCCACCACAACCCCCATATTTATTTAGGAAAGACTAGACACTGGGTGCACCTCCCTATCGCCTACCCCCAATGGAATACAGATGGACAGTAAGACAAACCATTTCAATAAAATGGCATTTAGAAGTGCAAAACCAGCCCACTTCCAATTTAAAAAAAAAAACCAAATATGAGGCTTTATAAACTAAAACTCATAATTACACACCCATGGTCAGAGACTTGTATTCCTACAAATAACTGATTACAATGTTTTAATTAAAAATTATAACCCTTCCCACCTGAACAAACAGAAAATCTCCCAGATTATTCTAAAAAAGGCCGCCACAACAGACTCAGTCTCTGTCCTTTAGACCAGGGCTTCTCAACCTTGTTCTTTCTGAGCCCCCCCCCCCCCCAAATGCCATAAAAACTCCATGGCCCACTTGTGCCACAACAACTGTTTTTCTGCATACAAAAGCCAGGGCATACATTAGTGGGTAGCAAGCAGGGCAATTGCCATGGACCCCATGCCACAGGGGAACCCACAAAGCTAAGTTGCTTTGGCTTCAGCCCTGGATGGGGGGGCTCGGGGCCCCGGGGTTCCGCCCCATACGGTTGGGCTTCAGCTTTCTGCCCGTGGCTGGGCAAGTCTAATGCCGGCCCTGCTTGGCAGATCCCCTGAAACCTGCTCGTGGCCCCCCAAGGGACACGAGACCCCTGGTTGAGAACCACCGCTTTATACAGAGACAAGCTGCATCCCGCCCCCCCGTAACTGCCCAGCCAAGCATCCATCCACTGCGCATGCGTGCGGGGGGCAGGCTACTGGACATGCAGCTTCTTAACCTCTCTCTACTCCCCGCCCCCCCAAACTCGCCCCCCGGTTGCAAAGAGGGGTGGGGGGAGGGGAACGCACCTCGGGCAGGCGTTGAAGAAAATCCCGGCGTTAACACGCAGAGGCCGGCCGGAGGAAGCGAGACGGCGGAGCGGGCAAAGTCGGGAGGTCACCGGGGCACAGACAAAGCGCCTCAGCGCCTCTCCGCTGCGGCCAGCCCTGCCCGAGGGGGGCCAGGCACGGGCGAGCGGGGCTCGGGCCAGAGGCCCCCTCACCGCCCCCCACACACCGCGCCAGCCCCTGAGTCCCCGCCTCGCGCCGAGCCCGCCCCCTGCCGCGAGCCTCCCCCAGGCTCCAGCCCCACCGGACCCTCCCTCTGCTGCAGCCGGCGGGGCCGAGCGCATCCCCTCAGGGACCCCGCCGTGCTTACCCCCAGGCCCCGCTCTCCCGCCAGGGTCCCCCCGCTCCCTCACCCTCCAGCAGCCGTTGGATGATGCTGTCGATGTTGAGCTTGTCTATATCCGCCATCGCCTCTCAGCGGCAATGCGGACCCCGCCTCTCCCTGCTGCCCGCCGGCCCGGCGCTCGCCTGCCTGCCTGCCTCCCGCCCGCCGCTCTCAGCAGCGACCCAGCACCGCACAAAATGGCCGCCGCCGTCCCTTCTCAGGAAGCTTTGGCGGCGCATGAACACTAAGCGCTACGGCCCGGCAGCCGGGAACCCTTTATAAGCAGAGCGCCGAAAGCGGGTTCGCTCCACCAGCGTCCCGCACTCACGGAATCCTTCCGCCGCGAGGGGGCGGGAGCAGGGAAATAGATCCGACCTGAGCTTTAAAGCCAGCATGTGCCCGTAGCATTGCAAAGGTGGGTGTGTTCTGAAAGCAGCTCACAGCCAGAGTCCCTAGACCTGCACATCTGGTTCCTAATCGACTAGATCAAGCCAATAAGAGCGAAGATTATTATTACTGTCAATCCTGCATAATTAATAGAATCAATAATAACAAGCCATAAATATAATACACATAACTCATTAATATCAATCGTAATTTGCCATTGACAACAATGCTAACTGAAAAATGATCAATAACTATTTCAAGTGATTATTAAGTGCTGTTATTAATACATATTTGGAGACTATTTGCTCTATTGCTTAAAGGCTCCCACTTTTTTCTTTTAAACAGACCTGCCCAACCACTTAGAACATCTGGGTTACCCTGGAAAACAGCTGTCTGACAACCACAGATGTGGGGAGTTTTTGTAAAAAACGGGTTCTGTTGGTTAGAGCACAGAGCTTCAAGAGATTAAAGTCCTGGTCCTGCAAGGTGCCCAACATGAATGAACCCCAAATGGAGCTCCCAGTGTCTTCAGCAGGGCTCTGCATGCAGAGCATATTGCACAATTGGGTCCACAGATTCTATTCCTGGCTTTGGCAATGACTCACAGTGTAGTGTTGGGGAAGTCAATTTCTCTGTTTCTTAAACCCTTGTCCTCCAGTGAACTCTATGAGGGTGTAGGGATGTGGCCAGGCCATGGGGATCCCATGGCACAATTGGGGTCTCAGCTGCTCCATCAATAAAATGGGGTAAATCATACTGACCTACCTCCCAGAGGTGATCTGAAACTTAATTCAGTAATGGCCTCAATCCTGCCAATACTCCTGCAGATGAGTGAGTAACTATGCATGTGAGTCTCCCTGTGCCTGTAGTTATTTCCAGGATGTTTGTTAAGTGCTTTGAAATTCTTGTAGGAAGGCACAAGAAATGAGCATATCCTTAAAAAAATATTTTATTTTAATCCATATTTAAAATTATTTTATTCTATATGTAGTAGAAACACATTGGAGGCAAAGTCAAAAACAATTAAAATCAGCTGAGTTTCTGACAAATTATATTGCATTGGCAGTGAGATGGTCTGTGCTGGCCTTTACTATTGCTCACTGCTTTGCATCCATGATTGAATATTGTTTAATGGGTTTATTTACTCCTAGTTTAATTTGCAGGGATGTCTTTGCCAATCCAGTTTCCTCCTCCCCTCTCCAAGATAAATTGCTTCCACTGTACACATGCTCGATTCTTCACACAGCAGTTATATAATAATCGTAACAACTCATTATCATGGTGGGGCCAGAGCAGAGTTCAGGCTGATCATGGTGATGAAGCAAGAAACTTGCAATCTCAGCACATTTTAGAGCCAATAATGAAGAAGCAGTTGGAAGGCGATAGATGTAGAGACCATAGGTAACCACAGGCATTTACTGATTACAAAATGCACCTTCAAAATTAAGCTCTGGAGTGAATGTCTATCCTAATGGGTACCACAGAGTCAAATGCTAATCTCAGAACACCAGTGTAAATCCAAAGTAACCCCACACTGATGTAAATCTGGAGTAACTTTATTGTCTTCAATGTGACTGAGATCAGGATCTGGCCAGCCATGTGTAATGAGTTGCTATGAGAAACTCAACTTTTGTATTTCCCAAATTTGTGTGTTTAAATTCAAACCTCATTTCCACCTACTCCTCCTTCACTCCCTAAACTTCTTCCTTCTTCTTAGTGCTCTATTTGTCTCCATCTTCCATTTACAGCTTTGCATCTGTTTTCATGCTGCCTCTTCCCTTGGAACAACTTCCCAATTCTTGCCCACCAAACACCCTTTCTCTCTTTTAAATCTCTCCTTTAATTCCATGGGTCAACTTCTCTGGCAGCTAACTCCATTGAACTCAGTAGAGTTACATCAGCAGAGAATCTGGCCCCCTGTTTCCAAGGAATCTTTCCTGTTTTGTTCTCCTTGCCAATAAGGTCTCCATCCCCTCTCATATTTCAACTGGTGTTCCACATCTCCTGGTCCTCCAAGGTCCTGAGCACCTCCTGTGAGGTGCTGAGTACTTTCAACTCCTGTTGATTTCTGTAGGTGTTGGAAGGGCTCAGCACCTTGCAGAATCAGGCCTTTAGGGTTCAATCCTGACAGCAAAGATGTCAGTGGGACCACTCACCTGTGTGAAGTTACTTGCATGCATGCAGGATTGGCCTTTAGAACATAAACTCTTCAGGGCAGGGAATATGCCCTGCTCTGAATCTGATCATGCAAAGTGCAGAGGACTAACAATTCCCAGTGGCCTCAGCAGGGGTTGAGGGTGCTCTGCACCCTGTTTAGAATCAGGACCTTTTTTGCAAAGCACTATGTACACTGACAGTGCTACATACACACTGACTGTTCTAACACTAAACCACAATTCATATCAATAAAATACATTGTTTGCAAAACACAGTCATTAAAGTGCCATTTTAAAATGAATTTTTCTGAAGTCAACTAATTGTTCTTTGCAGAAAATAGCAAGTCTCACTCGGCAACAACGTCATTGATTTTAAAAAAGGGCACAGCCAAAGTATTTTTAATAGTTTTAATTTAATTCCCCCCCACACACACACCAGTTATTTGCTTCAGGGTGTTTGTGGGAGAAAGAGGCAGGGAAATCCCTCCATCCTTTAAACTCTCAGCTTGCTGGTTTCAAGCATTCAATAACTTTCCAGCCTAGAGAACATATATCTCCTCTTCTCTCTATTTTTCTGAGGTTTTCATTATAGTTTGCTAAATGCATGATGACATGCTATTTGTCTCGCTCCACAGCTTCAAGACCTTTGGGTTGCTTCCTCCCTCTCCTCTAGGAACTAAACCAGTGATTTATTTATTCCATAAATAAATCACTGGTTTAGAACTCCTTGGAAGCCTGAATATGAAATGCCTTTTCCTACCCATTTTTCTCCTCTGTTACAAGCATATAAACTGCATTATTTGTAGTAGACTGTCTCAATCTGGGCTGTTGGGGCTAATTTTTTTTAATGAATGCTCTTTTTTATTGCTGTGAATGGGTTGATCATAAGAAATGTGAATTATCCACAGTCCCCATTGACTTAGGTTACATATTTGCTACATCTACGAAATTCCATGTGTTTTAAATGAAGAATTCCAGGATTTTGCAAACATTCTAAGAATAAAACTGAATCAATGTTGGCTTTCCCAAGCTAGACTTTCAAACGTGGCTTGTGTGTTTCCATGGCTCCTATTGTTTACAGCTAGTTATCCTGCCGTTTCCATCTAGGGAAAATTTCTCCACATTTTATTCAATCTTGATGTCTAAAAAAAGTTTGCTGACCCAGAAGCCTCAGATGTTTCTTTATAGACAGGGCCATTTAAGTCTGACAAAGGACAAATTTCTGAGCAATACCACCGGTTGGTGGTAATGTTGCCCCCTTTGGCTGAGCAGCGGGCAAATTTGGGGCCATACAAGTCAGTTTCCTGTTTGGAACAGAAATCAGTTCAATTTGTTCTCAGTGTAATTTGTTTATTTACAAAATAAACACCAGTCTTGTTTCTCTGAACAGCAGTCAGGACAAACTGTACGCAGGCAGCTCCCTGTGCAGATATCCCAAGTAAGAAACCACTGCCCTGTTCCTAGAACCAACTAGCTTGAGCCTCTGCCCCCTCCATTTAATTGGTGCAAAAACTGAATGTAGACGAGTCCATAGTCAAACATGTGTAGTCTGCTTCCTTCCAGAAACTACACTAAGTTCTCTCTCCTAATGATTAATACATAGTTCTGTCTGAGCCCTCAGCCCCTATGTACGAAACCTAGGAAAGCACATAAGCTCCACATTTTCCTTCTGAACTGAAGGGTCTCACAGTGGGTTGAGGAATCAGCCCTTTCCTTTGCATGCAGTTGTTTGCATTAGACAGGGCTGAGCTGTTCCTGTCTAGCACTGTGCAGGAACCAGAATTTTCACGTTGTACGAAATGCCATGGTTTTGACATTTGTTATAGTTTTGAAATTTCCCACAATGTGACGTGTTTGAAAAATATTTACTTCAGGTCAGTTGAAACATTTCGTTTCAATTTCAACATTTTTTTTTACTAATATCAAATACAAGAAATTTCAAAACAAAAAGTTGTTTCAAAACAAAAAAAGTGAAATAATATAATATAATAAAATGTTCTATTCTGAAAATGTCAGAGGAAGATTTCGATCTAATCAAAACGCTTTTTTCAATATTTTCTCTAAATTAAATTTTGTAAAAATTGACATGTTCCCACAGGAAGTTTTGGTTTCAATGAACCAATATTTTCTGACAGAAAAGCATCCCATTGGAAAATTTTGGACCAATTCTGCTCACGCTGTTGGTCACAAAGGAGAGCGTTTTAAGCACACCCCTTCACTTTAATAAGTTGGTCGGTCTGTGATCACTTTGCATCCAAGAACTTCTCAACATACGAACTTACACTCTTTGTAACATAGGGAACTGAATTCCCCCAGTGAAAAGTCCGGATCGTATGCTAAAACAGGAGCAAGTGGCAGCTCTAGCTCAAAAATGTAGGTGTGGCACTGTATCTTGCGTTAGTTTCACACGGATTGAAGAAGGCACTTCATGAAGTGCTCCTAGATGCCTTAATGTGGGGGCCTGGTTGTTCAGTAACAACCTGCAGTTGCTTTGCAGCCCCCCCATTGAAATGTGCACTATGCAAGTGGGACAGTAGAGTGGCTGTCCTGAAACATGACCTGATTCTCCTCTTACACTGATTTTACACCAGTGAATCCAACTAACGTCAATGGATTTATTCCTGATTCATACCAGTGTGAGAGG